TACTCAGAAGACTCCATTATGAAACCACCATGTTTAATTTTAGGCTTTTAAACTCAAATGAAAGTATTAAAATGAAAGCGACTCGTTTCATAGGTGTGAACGCATTTTTGCATACCGAAAATGAACTAACTTCAGTGGGAGCTCAGTTAGTCTGAAAAATCAGGCTAAATATGACTCTCAGGAAACAGATTTGAATGCTTTGCTGTTAATCTTCTGTCAGTTATGTCTGATTTAAATGTAAAAACAATTTTTCTCCCCAACTTGAAACTTACTTCCATCAGCAAAGGGAAATTATCCAACTTTCTTAGATTTTTCAAAGACTTTAATTTGCAGAGAAATAAAGTCCACCAAAATTAGAGCAAGAGAATTACTGATTAAAACGTAAGATAAAGTAGAAGATAAAATCTCTCAGCCTTTTTATGATCATTACATAAAATATGACTAAAATAATACACCCTCACAGGTGCATGACAAGGAAGGCTGGTCAGAAATTTTCCATAAAGCAGTTTCTCTCAATAAGCTTCACGGGAAAATTAATAGGTTCTGCATATCCCCATCTGTGGAGAAGAATATATTCATCAGGAACTGAAAGCAGAGTTGTCATGAGAGGCTGCAGTGCCATTTCACTAAAAAAGAGTTGACTTTTTTTAAAAGAAATACAATGCTATCTTAAAAAAAAAACCAAATCTGCTGCATTTGATGATTAGTGATATATAAGAGGCTAAACTGTAAATCCTCTACCTCACCCCCAAAACCCTTTTCCTATGAACACTAGTTTTCAGACCGGAAGTTTAACATTCTGCTCAAGGTAAAATACCCATATCTAGGTGTTTCAATATAAGCTGGGTGTTTAAGCTTCCCAAGTAGTCAATGAAGATCTAGGACAAGATATAACTGAGTAGACAGTAGTACGCAGCATCTTTTTAGATGCTGTTAGGTATGCCATCAGTCCACTGCTGATTTAAAAGGGTGCTCTTCTCTAAGCCCTCTGCATTACCTGGAGTTAAATCCTATATCGTATCTAGCAATACTGTGCAGATGTCTCAGATGCAACAGGGCATCTCAAATCACTGTAGTCTCTTCTACACAGGAAACTACATTAAGTCCCCTTTGATGGTAATGGGCGTTCAGGCATTGTTGATGTATACACCTACAAGTTGGCATCTACTCTTATGCACCTTAATATCAGATTTTGTCCTATTCCAGTATTTGCTACAGTCTTGTTCAGCATTTGAGAACAAGAAAGTATTTCTATTCATGTTCTTAGCCTTACAGATTGTTTCTGTGACGACCTATGTAAGTTTTCACTGTGATATTCCCACTTTACTCTTCAGGGGGTATTGAGCTATCATACAAACACAGTACTATTCATTTTGCTTTCTGTTATTGTAAGCTCCATCATATTTTCATTTGTCTGGACTTATGAAGACTAAAAATGATGACAAAAATGCAACACAAAAATTCTGAAATCACCTGACTCCTAAAAGGACTTCAAAGGGCTAAATATACTCTTATCTAAATACTACTGCTGATCTTGTTTTTACTACTATTAAAAACATGACTTAATGATGACAATGATGATGATGATTTTTATTTTCCTGGTATGCCAGGCATTTCTAAAGAGAAAAAAAAAAAAAGCGAGTCCAAAGTTCAAGAGTCATGTGGTATTATTAATTGATATCTGCAAAATAGTCCTTGTAAATATTTAATTATCATTTTCCTCACATTACTAACTGGGGATAAACATGAATTCCTTCTTTGAAAGGTGCCTGGAGACTGACAGATAAACATTCTAAAAGCAAGTTATTTGTTAACAGCCTTTGGGAGACCTTTTATAAAAGACTGGGCCACTCCCGATCTGAAATGGAGAGATATTTCAAAGCTGAACTCTCATTTTGGTTAGGACTCTCATATGTTTGGTGTCTTCCCTAGGATACCAGCTTTCCTAGTAAACAGGGTTCCCATATCCAGCTGGCAGAAGGATCACTCTGAACGATATCTCAGAGGCCTTCCCATGGATTTTTATATATATGTGTATAATTCCAGCATCCTGGCAGTTGTCCATATCCTGTACAACCTCTTTTTCCTTCGTCCCTATTTTTTCACTTTACTCTAGAGCAACTGGAAAGATTGAGATGCCAAAGTACAGAGGAGAGGGGTTCTAACTGCAGTGAAATGTTCCCATTTCTGACCTACACGTGGTTCTCTGCATTAGATCAGGGTTTGCTGATATGGTGCCTAAGACACCCAGAGAGTTACTGAAGGAACAAGATCCTAACTAGCATGGGATGGGAAATAGTTATTATTTTGTCAGAAATATTTTGTCAGGACTGTAATGTGCTTTTTTTTTTCCTCACTCAAACCAATATGAAGTATTTATTTCTCAAAAATGTCCACAAGCTCAAAAAATCAGCTTCTGTTCCTCTCTTTCTCTTCTTTATGCCCTGAACAGAATTAGGATAACTGAAATCAGTCCTTTAAAAACTGCAATGACATTTCAACTTTTGAAATATTTTTTCATTTATGTCTCTAAATTAAAATTAAAAATCTGGAGGGTTTATTTGGGTTTGTTTTTTTTCACTAAACACTTATCAAAATGCATCATTATAAAAATGCGAATAATTTCCTCATAATAAGGTGTCTAGTACAACTTGAGTTTCCCTGGCCCTTATGTGAATGTCTGTCGTGGTTTAGGCCGATCCGGCAACTAAACTCCACACAGCTGCTCTCTCACTCCTTCTCCAGTAAAGCGGAGAGGAGAAAAATATAATAAAAGAACTAAGGGTGAAGACAAGAACAGAGGGAGCACCCACCAACCACGGTCCCGGGCAAAACAGACTAGGCTTTCTCAAAGCAAAGTAATTTATTAACGGTTACTTAAAAGGACAAAAGGACACAAAACCAGCTATTTGAGAGGATAAAAAGAAACAAAGCCAGATCTTAAAAACAACAACCCCCCACCCCCTTTTCCTCTTCTTCCCAGCTCTACCTCCTCCCACAGTGGCGCAGGGAGCAGGGAATGGGGGAGTGCAGGTCAGTTCATTCCATGTTGTTACTGCCGCTCCTTTCTTAAAGGAAGAGGAGTCCTTACACCATTTTCCCTGCTCCAGTGGATTCCCTACTCACGAGGAAAATCCACAAAACTTCTGCAGCGTGAGTCCTACCCGCAGGATGCAATCCTTCCCCATCGGATCGCTGCAGTGCGGGCTTTACCACAGTCTCAGACTCTTAGGGAGTTGCTACCACTCGCTCCGGCATGGGTCATCACACGGACTCTAGATGCGTCTCTACCTTGTCATGCATACCATGCTTCACAACCGTCCTCAGGCTCAGGCATCTCCTCTCCACGGGCTGCGAGTCTCTCTGCTCCACCGGGTCTGTCCTGGCTGCAGGGGGGCTGCCTGCTGTCTCGCAGGGGAAACTCAGCTCCAGCACACCTCATCCCCTTCCATTTCACTGACCTGGTGTCTGTGTAGCTGTTTCTCTCAGATCTCAGTCCTCTCTGGGTGAACTTGGCTCAGCAGGCACCCCAGGAGCGGGGCTCTCCCCAAGTTCCCCAAGCGGCTCCACCGCCGCCATCCTCAGCGGGTGGCGCCGTCCCGGCGTGGGCAGCCCCTGGCCAGGAGCCGGGAAGTGGGGGCAGCGCCCTCCTCCCCTCTCCTTGCTTCTGGGCAAAAACACCTTTTCCTGTTCCTTTGTCCCAGCTTAAATAGGGCAATTCGCAGAGGTGCCGATTGGCTCAAACCCCGAGGGGGATGGGAGTCCGATCTGGTGGCCAGAACCGGGAGGTCACATGGAGCAAATCCTCTCTCCTGCCACCAGAACCCCCCACACACACATCAAACCATCACAAAGTCTTACACTGTACACATAATATTTGGGTAGATAGGGCTGAGGTCGATTGTTGAAAACTGGTCCTAGCACCATTTCTGATATCCCAAGATGCATCCTCACAGAAATGGTATCTAAGAGGCAGGACCAGTGGGAAGCTTTCACACTTCTGGATCTGCAGGTGGAAGCCGAGTGACTGTAGACACATATGTGTGCACTGAAATGTTCCTCTAAACTGAGATGAGACTAACCCACTATAGCTCTGCCTGGCAACTGTATTAATACATCATTTCTGTAGCTGTTAAATGAGAAACACCACTGAAATTCAGCTACTTTATAGTGCAGAAAAACAACAAGAGAAATTCAGTATTATCTTGGAAAAGCACCTTATTTGGATGAAAGATGCAACAGGTAAATCTATACTAGTAAATTCAACACCAGCAGGACAACGCTGTTGGAACTTGGTTATTTTTGCTATTAACTGTTTAGGATGGTCCATGAATTTAGCCTGGCTGAACTAGCCCTATGTGAAATGTTTCCTGGCCATTGTTTGGGCATTAATACTGGCCATGGACGATTCTCAATAGGCAGTCTGGATTCCACCCTGTTGGATGCTCAGGGGGCTTAGCAGCATGGATATGTCCTAACCATGCCAATTGTGCTGGAGAGAGATTGCACCTTGGCATTGCTGAATTTCCTAGTACAGATGCAGTCGTACAGCCACATAGAATAATCAGGTCTTGTTCAAGAATCCAATCTAGAAGAGTGAATAAACCACACAGAAGTGACTTTATTTACCTGAGAAGGGGGGAGTCAGACTTTCTAGGATTAGAAAAGTAGCAATGCTGGAGAGCCTAGGGCATGGAGCCTCTCTCAGCCTCTATGAAGTCAACAATGCTGTGTCAATCTGCATGAGCCAAGGATCTGTCCCATGGTGTTTCAGAACTGAGGCTCTTACTAAAACCACCCTTTGAAGCTGTGTGTAGTCTGCTCTTCCACTCTGCTCTTTTCTGTTTCTCCCCTAGGTAATAAATAGTTTAGGGAGCAAATCTTGAATTTCGCTGTAGCAAAACGAGTGTACTGTAAACTCTTCCATGTATGTGACTGCATTTTTATTTATGTGTGTGTGTGTATTTCTTTTTCTTTTTCTGTCTCCTTCTCATTTGTAGTTTGATCACTCATGGTTTTGGAACTCCTGCAATATGTGCTGCCCTAAGCACTTTCCAAACTGTTCTCAGTGAAATGCTGAACTACTTGGAAAAGCATACATCGCACAAAAACGGAGGAGCGGCGGAATCCGGCCAAGGACACGCCAACTCGGAGAAGGCCCCCCTGCGGAAAACTTCAGAGGCTGCTGTGAAAGAGGGCAAAACAGAAAAGACAGACTAGCTACATCAAACAGAATCTATTTCAAGAGAGTCTTGCTGCTGATATTTTTTTTAAATATATATATCATTGAGGGCGATTTATCTCCAGTGGACCAAATCCAAAAAAGGGGGAAAAAAGAAAAAAAAAAGGAAAAAATCAAAAAAAGAAAATAAAAAAGAGAAAGATTAAAACAGAGAGAAAGAGAGAGCATGAAAGAGGAAAGTATTCAACCCTAAGAACAGCAGTGTACAGTAATGGTGTGATGAAATTGTCACTTTTTTAAAATTTATGTTGCTCTAAACTACTTTTTCGTGCACGTAGTATTTGATTGTTCTGAATGATACACTAACACTGTTTTTTATAAGCACTTCTGGACTTGGCTGAGGTGGCACATGAAATTTGAAGCACTTTCTTCTCCGGCAGCACAGTTAGGGCAAGTGCATCGGTTGTGGAAGAAGCAGTTCTAGCATCCTGGCTTTGCTTGCATGCTGGATAGATTGAAAGAAGGGCTTCCTCTGATCCATCAGAATGCCTGATCTACTTACTAATCATTGGGAAAACGATATGGAAACCTGGCAAATGAGGAATTCTAGGGTCATGGGACAAAGGAACCATTTGTTGTTGGGGGATGTTCGTCCCCAAGTGGGAACATACAATAAAGCTGCACTGGAACGAGGCCAGAACCTGTTGGGAATTTGTTCTGACCATTCAAGCAGCAGCCATAGTGTCTCTTCTGAAAAGAGCATGGCAGACTAAAATGAAAAAAAACTCAATCATTTCAATAAGAGCCCTGATTCCTCTGTGAACTTCAGATTAAATGACAGCACAGGCTTCTGTCCTATATTTCTCAGCCCCTGGTCCCACAGCACTGCAGTCTGCCATCCTTGGGTCTCCATTCAACAATATCAATGCAGGCAATTGGAGTCACCTTTTGTGTTGCCTTGATTTTATGATGCTTTCTTTTCTTCAACAGCTTGTTTCTGCAGCTTTATTGTCTTTAGAAATCCAGCTGAGGTACAGAGGTCTAATAGAATCCACTCACTTACCGAAAAGAAAAGAAAAGAAAACCAAAATGACAAATAAGACGGATTGGCTTGGTCCACAGCAGCTGAGTGGTAATAACCTTGCTAATGTATTTTTGCAATATTACTTTACCACATACTACCCATCTTCACACAGAAAACATTGAAGGCACAGTTTGAGCTCAAGCCTCTTTGAGATAAGAGGCTTTTTCCAGCCACTTTCTAACTTCTTCAATAAGACTTTTATGCCATTCCTTGTCTTGCTTCTCTGACTTCCCTTTATTGAGAAAGTTAGGAAGGATTGGTAATATAGGGTGGGGTTATGCCGGCTGTCTAAACACCTTTTAAGATTAGCAGAACTAGATCTTTTCTTCCAAGGGACAATTCATCTCTTTCCATGGTAGGAAATAATATAACCGTCCATGTGTAAGTGTTTAGAACCATTTGAGATGTTTCAGGGTACCTAAGACAGCCACACAGGGAGGTTGGAGCTAGATGATCTCTGGTGTCCCTTCCAACCCAAATCATTCTATGATTCTATGATTCTATGATTCTATGACATGAAACTTACAGGAGAACTGAACTCTTTTGGAGGAGGAGCTGGAGGATCCCAGAAGACAGCACCAGATACCTACGGATGGCCACTTGACTTGCACACCAAGTGTCTAGGACAGGTAGAAGGGATCATCTGGAAATGCCTGGCATTCTCCACAGATAATGTAACAGTGGTATTTTGCATTGTACACAACTACAACTGTATTAATCACCCTTCTCTCCCTATAATCAATGGAGAGAAAAAGGCACTTATAGTATGTACTTCATCTCACCTCTAAGTAATGATGAAACATGTCCTGAAAGTGTGTGTTTTTCTCAACTAGGTATAAAGGAAGCCAAGGATAAAAGCTCTGATACATATGTGTCTACATTGGAGCTTTCTTGAACTAGCTAGCATGCATTACATCTTGGATGACCAACTTTAGACTTCTAAACCTAGGGACTGTGAAAACTTGCCAAGGACCTTCACAGCTATGATGTAGGCAGTCAAACTGAATTAACAAGGTCAGCTTCGCCGCCTAAATGTACAGAAAGAAATAGAGCACTTATGGTATGATGCTGTTCCTCTTGAGGTCAGTAAGGACATTGCCATCATGATGAGAAAATACACTAGGAATTAATGAGTCCCTATTTGCTTGCATAAGGAAATCTACCCAAAAAAAGAAAACAAACAAAAAAAAAAGAAAAATCCAATGATTATGCCCACATTTGTCCTTGCTTACAGTAGGTTGTATAACTTAGATATCTACTAAAGTACAATCTAGGCACCCTCTACACACAAAGGGAAATAGATGTATCTCCATGGGATTTCACCTCCTCAACACACTAAGATCAGTAAAGTGCCTAACATAACTGAAACTTTACTGAACAAATTTTTCACTCCAGGGCCTCCAGAGAAGTGCCAAAATCAAATGAATGATCCTCAGAGATGTCTTTGACAGAAACATTGTGGAACTGTTCTAGAACATGAAATACTTGCGTGTGAAAGCAAGGAACCATGATTAAAAGTGAAAAGGAAACTCTGCTTTTTCTACTACCCAAGCTGAGGGAAAGAAAAGGAGAGGAGAAGAAAAATAAAAGTTTGACTGTGTCAGTTATGCAGATTTGCCACACGAATATGTACTGTAAAGGAATTTAATTGCGGTCCTCTACTTCAAGATGTGAATAGTTTTAAATTAGGTTTTGATGGAGGGAAAAAAGAGAAGAAAAGAAATTTTTAATGGTTTTCATTTTTTTTCACTACAATATCAGTCTTCTGGAGAAGGAGGAATGACTGGCTGTGTAGATTATTCTGTAATACTGTTGAGAAAGCAGCATTTTGTTACCATCAAATTCAAATGTCGGATACCGGAAATAATATGTATACAGCATTATTTGAAATATTTACCTGTTCAGGATATGTTCAAAGATCCCAACAATAATTCATTTAAAGACTTACATCTTTTGTTACTACTTATAATCACTATGAGCTTCTGCTCTGCAGGCAACAAATTATTTTTTACCTGGATTACCATTTGATCTAGTAATATTAATAAACCTGAGAACTCTCAAAGCCCCAGAACTTCCACTTTTTCACTTAATGACCCCTATATATTTTTGGTAAGGTCCAATACAGATCCGATTCAACTTGATTGAACTACCATATATTCTTACCATTAGAAGACTACCTGCATTTATATCCACATCCTTCTGGTTTTTCCTTTAGTATTTTTGCACATTTTAAAAGCAAAATTGTCTTTAAAAGATATCTGTGAGGTTTGTTGATATTCACAGGCTCTCTGTTATTTATTTTTAACTGTACTTAAGAATTTTATTGAGAGAAAAAATGATTATTACTGCCTTTTCTGCTGAACTAGCTATCAGATCAGTTTGGTGTCAAAATGCATTTGTGTTTTTAAATCAGAACTTCCAGTGTGATTTTAAGCAATGAATTCACTGATCTTCCTGTTAAAACTTCAGCCTAAGTTCTCACCCACTTATACCTGCACAATGTTTCCATGTCAGCGCTTTTTTTTTATTTTCTTAATCCTTGTCTCTGTGGAAATGTTGCCATCTCAAACCACATTCATGAATTAGATCATCCTGAAGGAAGGCCATGGTTTGAAGTTAGTGGGCTCACTAGTAACATATTCAAATATATTTGTACCTTTTTGACTCTGAAACTAATCTCATCCAAAAAAACCCAAGAAGTTCTTCTGAGAGATCATGGAATTGTTTATTCCATTCAGGTCAAAAACGTCAAAGTAGTGCAGAAAAGTGCCCAAACTTCCATGGCCAGGACAATGAATGGTTATGATCTTTGAAACTCTGCAAACAGATTCATAGCTCAAGTGCTGTCTGAGTATTTGGATCCTGTTGTACTTCGGGCCATTGCTCAGCTTTCTATGCATTACACCTTTCCCACTACGCATCTCAATACACTTTAAGTAGGACTCTGAACTTACTTCTTATACTAAACCCTGACACATTTGACTCGCAAAGACCAACTTGAATTTATTAGCAAGTTACTTATGAAGTAAACACACTGACTAATGACATGCCTTTCTTTCTAGAGCAAAGTGTTACTCACTGTGAGTACAAACAGCTCATGTGTTGACTAAGCTTAGAAGGTAAGTCTCTGGCAGAGCTAGGAGTGACGTTCTTGCTTCCGACCTCCGATTTGGATCTCTGTTCACACAGTCCTCCATTGGTATCGTTACATGGCGGAGATGTGTAGTAAAGGGAGAGTTTTATGCAGATGATAAGAACTGGAACAGCTGACCTGTAAGGGCAGTGAACCACAGACCAGCAATGATGACCCTGCCACCTACAACTGAAGACCGTCAGGAATTTTGTCCTTCATGCTGCCATCTTAAACCCTAACTCCTTCTAGGTGTCTTTCTGTTGCCTTGGAGAACTGGCACAAGGGGTGAATTTGGACCTTTGATTTACTTCTTTTTTAAAGATAAACTCCAATATTCATTGTGAAAAGACTTCAGCTCTCCAAATCAACAAGGAAACTGCTCTTTGATGCTTCTCTTTAACCTTTCCTAAAAAAAAAATAAAAAAATCCAAGAACAAATCTGCTACAAAGCAGGCACAATGTATAGTCCTTCCAAATCCTGGACCTCTGTGTAAATATTTCCCCAGCTCATCTCTTCCTTTGAACGTGACTCAGTGACACAGCTGCGGCTCAGAATTTTGCAGCAAGGCTCAAGAAGGACTGCTTTATTGTCCTAAGAGCCAATTTCTCCAACTGCTTTTTTGTTTGTTTGTTTGTTTGTTTCCTAATACCAACAAGCGGTTTTGGTCTTAGATGTCTTAGGTATCCAAAAGGGCTGCTGGTGAATTCCAAGATCTTTTGACTTTCATTTATCCTTTGGAGAAAGAGTTCTGCTGCTCTAATTCTTTATTTTTAAGGACAAGACAAAACAGCATTAATAGAAGACACAAGCCTGCAACACAAGGAAGAATCAATAAACAAAATTATACAGGAATTGTATTTATAAAAATATCCTCTGCCTCTGCCCTC